ATGACCTGTGAACCTTTTCTCTGGGGTTTATGTGATTTGGGCAGGGTAGGTTTAATGGTGGGAGAGAATTAAACTCTCCGAGGCCACTTATCTGTTCAAAGAGGGACAGAGTTGGTTACTAGTCATATGTTGAATGCCTCATCTAGCTCGTTTTTTTTTATTCTATTGCCTTCTCTGAAGCACTGAGAGAAGATGGCTGCTACCTCTTATAGAAAAGTTCACAGAATGTCACTGAAACATTTTTACCTTCCTTCCGTCTTTGTCTCTAAGCTGTTGTTCTCCACAGGCAACCAGTCAATGGCAGCTAATATAAAGAAATCTGAAGAGAGAGAAAGGCAAAAATGGTATTGGCAAGAAAATAATCTCATAAAAGTTCCAATTCCACATTTTTTTACTAGTCACCTACCTCTGTGAATCATGTCTGGAATTGGGTCGGGTTGGGATGGGAAGTCATGTTCAGTCATTTTGAAACCCAGAATCATAAATATGATTACAGAGGAAAAATTAGCCCTGGTCTCTCCCTCAGTTCTTTGCTTGCATGAACTGACATTTGTCTAAAGCATGGGTTCCCAACTTGGGGATCATGACCTCCAAGGGGATAGCAAAGTGTTTTCTGGGGGATCACCACAGTTTTTGGAAGAGGGGGACACATCACCCTCAACTTGCAACTCCAATCTTCAGTTCCCTTCTGCAGGAACCCTGCCCCTCACCCGCTTGTATCTCCCTAAGCCAAGCTCTCTTTGCTCCCTGCTGTGGGGTTCCTGGGGCCCCCTGACTACATGCTCTCTTTCTCTGGCAGCAGCAGCAGTGGCTCCTCTTCAGCTCTGGTGGCTGGCTGGCTGGCTCAAGTAGGGGACCAGGATGAGGAGGAGCGGGAGACAGGACCCAGCCTATACAGCCCCTGCAAACCTGGCTGGCCATAGTGGGGGTTGAAGGCAAGAAGGGAGTGGCAGGATGGAGAGGGAGTGGGAGAAGTGGTGGTGGAGGATGAAAAGGCCATCACCTCTTTGCACCTTCACCTCTGCCATGTGCCTCTCCCTCCATCTTAAGGAGGACAGCGGAGAAGGAGGAAATGGAGCCACCACTTGAAAGAAGGATGGAAAGGGTGACACTTCTTTCCTGAAGGGAAACCGCCCTCTCCCAGCTAACCCAATTTTAACCCACCCTCATTACCTCCATCTCCTGGAGCTCATTAAGGGACTGTTGGGGGTGGTAGTGAGTGGCTTTAACAAACACTCAGCTGTGAATTTCAAGGCTAGTTGTCCAGATGCATCACATTAAATACTAATTTAGAACGATATCCTGAAAAATCTATGTTTAATGTATATTCTTTGCCCAATTAAATATGTCTTTTTATGCAAATATGGAGGAGATTTGCAGGATAGTTGGCTATTACAAAAGGGAGTTGTAATGTGAAAAATGTACATTGGTCTTTAAAAAAGGATTCTGCTCCTGTGGAGGCTCTCCACATGAGCAAGAACCCAGGTCCTCCTTTCAGCGTGGCCCCCTGACCCCTTGTGTAGCACAGAGTTTGCATGTGAACAGGAACCTTTTAGTTTCGGCTGCATCGCTGCTCACGTGAGTCCTTTCCTCCACAGCACAGCTCACTTCATTTCTCTGCGTTCCCTTGTGTAGCATTTTCAGGAACCTGGAGAAGCTGCTGTTGCAATGTCTTTTTCCACCAATCATATTACATCTGCCTAAATCCAAATTTGCTTTCAAAGCCTCGGACCTTGCTCCTAAGGAGAAAGAATATAATGATCTGCTTATGCCATCCATAACCAAACAGCAACAGGATGATTCCTTGAGATCAAAAGCATCATGCTTTCACTGCTCTGTTACAAATGGTTTCATATACACACACACACACACACAGAGAGAGAGAGAGAGAGAAGTAAACACAATATATATATATAAACATATATACAGTGTATGTATACAGTATATATATATGGCATGAACATATTGTATTTTTTTTTTACCACCCATCTGACCAGTGGTCACAGAGAAAAATGCAGAAGCTGTGGTGCTTAACTGAAGCAAATTAACAAATTGCTTATCTTGGTCTCATGACCAAGCATGTGACATGCACCTCATTAATTACAAGCATGTGACATGCACCTCATTAATTACTGTTATAACTTCTGTGTTTTCACTTACGCACATATACAACAGCCATACTTAAATTCATATTTAAAATAATTTTCCAAGCTCTGTGAACTTTGCCTGGTATCAATACATGTATATGGGTATATGTGAAAAAGACATTAAATATCTCTATTATGAGGTTCAGCTTCTTGAAGTTCAAACATGACAGAGATATCCTAGCGTTAATACTTTTTTTGGTGCCTCTTTAACCACATCTAAAGTTTTAGGCTTTAATTCTTATCTTTAAAAGAATGTAGGAGGGAGAACAAAAATTAAAATAGGAAGCACTTAAATGACCACAAAATCACTCCTTAATCTGATAGTCAAAGAAAAAGGCTTCCCCTTCCCATAACCCCCATCAAGGAAATAGTTGAGAGGATTTACATCCAAAATGGGGGATCTTAGCTGGTTTCGTCCTGTCCCTCTTCTGTCTTGATCTCGGAAAACACCATGTTGCCTTAATTTGTTACTCTGCTGTTTTTGATCTCCCTCCATTCTGGGAACTGGGCCAGATAGGAGAGGGGTCAACACAAATGTTTGGAAGGGAGGGAGAGCGCCTTTCTGCCTGATCAACTAGAGTATGACCCAGCTACATTTTATCTTTTGCTGTCTCTATTCTTGCTCATGTTATAAAGTCATACCGCAGCTGTTTTGAGAGAGACAAAGATGTGAAATTATTCAGAGCATCTGGACCATAGTATGATTGGTGACACTGGTATTTTCAGCCCACTTCTGAGCAGCAGGACGTTGCAGGGGCATAGCACCTACCAAAGTTCAGTTTCCCTTTAGAACAGGAGTGGAAAAGCTTGTGCCTTCTGACAATTTGGTCTGCAGCTTCCGCCAGACCACCTAACAAGGCCAGCAGGAACAGACTGCAGAAGTTGTAGACCAAAACATATGGTAGGCCAAAGCTTCCTTGCTCTAGATTTTAAAATGAAGACACAGTGAGATCAAGGTGTTCTGTAATGGTTGTTGTGGGTTTTTCGGGCTTTTTGGCCGCGTTCTGAAGGTGGTTTTTCCTAACGTTTCGCCAGTCTATGGCCGGCATCTTCAGAGGACAGCAAACTGCTCTTGCTTGCACAGTTTGTTGTCCTCTGATGATGCTGGCCACAGAGACTGGTAAAACGTTAGGGAAAACCACCTTCAGAACACGGCCAAGAAGCCCGGAAAACCCACAACAACCATTAGATCCCGGCCATGAAAGCCTTCGCGAATACGTGTTCTGTAATCTTTGAATTCTGCACATAGACTCTGACAGATAGTCCAGGCTACTACTCCAGATAAGATTCGTCAACATTCTTTCTGAAAGCCATTACTTTACAAGGTCCCAACAATCTCCTTTCTGACTCCATCACTTTCTGGTTCAAATAGCAATTCCTGCTGTTTTCCATCACACACAGACATCAAGACTATATGATATATATAGAACTGAAAAGGTCTGCCCTTGCTCTGTTGCGAATATTTAATATAAATATCCTATAATTAGTTCCCATGGAAACATTATCACCTGAATACTTCAGGATATTAACATTCCCTCATTAAGTCCAAAAATATGCCAAGGCAAGCCACAGTAAGAGTTGCATATGCAGAAACTGAATTAACAAAATTGATTCCAGTATGTTTCATTGTATTTGTCTTCAGTGTGGAAGGGATTGTCACTCTTGAATTGGCCTTCTCAGCCACACTAGATGCTGTTCCAAGACCTCTATTCAGAGCATATTACCATAGTCTCTTGAGACTGAAGGATGCCTACACAAGATGTTTCATTTTGAGTGCTTAGAGAATGAAGTATTCCTGCAATAGAAGAACAATCTTGAAGGAAGATGTGTACAAGCATGTGTACACTGATCAGTACCAAAGAGCACGCAGACTGCTCTCCCCCTCCCTTGCACTTACTGGAGGTGAACGTACCTTTGCATGTTGGCAGGATGGTGCAAGACGCAGAAAGAATGAGACGAGTGCATTCTGAGTGACGGTTTACATTAGGATTGGAGAATATGCAGCCTTCCAGAATGTTGTTCAACTGCATCTCTTTCCATCTGTTGATACTGGCCAGGTTGCTTGAGGCTGATGGGACCTGGAATCGGACAATAGCTGGAGGGGCCAGCTGTTTCCCAACTCTGGTTTGCAAACAAACTGAGTATTGCTGGTGGGCCACCCCATAATTCAAAGAGCTTCCCTAGCATATTATATATAGATGTACAGTACATACATATAACTCACAACAGGCTGCCTTCTCCATCATGGTACCCTCCAGATACGTTGAACTTCTCAAGTCTTCAGCTAGTAAGGCCAGTGGGCATTGAGTTCTAGTTTAACAGATCGGGAAGGCATCTAGTGGAGAAAGGTTGTTTTTGCTGGTGTCTTGTAGCATAATTATCAGTAGCCCAGACAATAACATGATGGCTACTAGATCCCAGGAATGACTGGACTGTAGCTCCTATACCTCCTTATCATAAGCTATACAGCTGAAGGGTGATGGGTAGTTACATACACTCCATCTCTAATGTAAAATTAATCTACGTGTAGATTCAAATCATTGTATAAGACAAAAAAAAATTTAATTCAAAACATTTTTTTTAAATGGGAAATGGAGTGCCGAAATATGTCAGGTGCACATAAATTGAATTTAAATGCAGCAACAAGTTCACTGAAATGAAAGATTAATGCTGACTAGGCACCATAATTCTATAATCTGTGATTGTACATGTTTCACATGAAAGGTAAACTGGACGTAGGGCTTTTAAATTTAAAAAAAACCTCTTATTCTTGGTTTGGAAATATTGAATAACAATAAACAAAAAACAAATAGTTTAAAATTTATTTTTGTTTGTTTGTTTTTCTATTCATAGCATGCAACAGCCAAGCAGGACGGAATGTGAAGAGTAATGTTTGCAAGTGGTGTGATAACACGCACCCTTTCTGTGAAGATTGGGTGTGCTACAGCAACTGTGACTTAAGCTCCTACTGTGAAAAACCAGAGGAAATCTGTGTGTCTATATGGTAAGGAGAAAAACAAAACAAAGCAAAATAAAACCCTGAAGAGTGGACTCAATGGATAAGAAAATACAGTAATGCATTATCAACAAACTCCTGTACTATATGTAATCTTAATTCTCTGGAGTAAACTTGGGCAGAAGGAGACCACAGGCTACATGTAGGCCCCAGCAACTCCACCTCCATCTCACATTTTAAAACCATCTCTCTCTCTCTCTCTCTCTCTTTTGCACAGAAGGTCCACCAGTGCTCTCTGGTTGAGCCATTCTCAACCTTTTTTTTTTGCCCACAGCCGTAAACACACATCAGGATTGTATAAGTTGCATAACAAACCTTATAAGGTGGTGTGTGAAGAGTTCTACCTAGTCTGTGCCCCCCTTCAAATGCCCCAGGGCTCCCCAGGGGGCTATATGTCACACACACCCATGAGAAGGGCTGCTGTAGAGGATGTGGGAGGTAATTCTGCCATGTTTGGAAGAGCACTCCATCCCCATGGTTTAATTTTAAAATAGTTTTTTTCTGTTAGAAAATATAAGTTTTTTTCAGTTTAAAAAAAAGCCTTAAAAATATTGCAGTCTCCAAAATTTAGGTGAAAATGCACAGCTCTTGGACTCTTGATGGTTGCCTACCCTTCCCCAGGAGCCCAGTGTTAACCACATATAGGTATTTGCATCATTGTGTCCAACAAGATGTTCAGCAGGAAACACAGCATGCATGGACTTGAAGGATGAGGGGCATTCACTCATCTTACAGCTGGATACTGTGAATGAACAGTTTTCTGTATTCAGAACAGCTCATAATGCAGAAGCTGTCATGCAGAAGAACAGTAACAAGTGCACACACACCCCTTACTTTTCCCCCCTTTCCTCTCCCATCTCTTTCTTCTGGTTGCATATTCTTCTTCTCAGATTGTTTCTCTGCCAGATCAAATGATTAGGTCCAGGCAGGTCACCAAAACATGAAGGTCCCACAAACTGTTTTTTAATCTCGGTAGTGTCTTCCACAGGTACCAACGTCTGTCAAAAACTGACCAGAGCATTCTTCTCCCTCTTCTCTGGCTGGTTGCTCCCGCAAAATTTCTCTCCCTCCCCCACAAACTTTTGTCTGTGTGACATTTGCTCCCGCACTTACTGGTTTCTAATCTTGGGAACTCAAGTTCAAGTAAATATGTCAATACTGAATGCTTGGTAAGGTTCAATGAATGGCAGAGGTGGGTACAAGAGGTTACAGCTGGGTTTGTATGTCCACCTTCAGTTATTCAGCTGAAAAAACTGACAACAACAAAAAAGCAAGTAACACACTAACAAAGCAGAACTTTATGACAGGATCTAATGAATTTTTTTCCATCTATTGTCAAATATTGAGTGATATTAAAAGTGCATCTGCTAAATAAAACAGGCCATGTTCGTTTCCACCAGGAGTGGATAATATGTGAGACTCCAGATGTTGCTGAGCTGCAACTTCTATGCTGCAACCTGTCAGCATAACCAGTGGGGAGGGATTGTGGGCTCTACAGGCCAATGGATGAAAGACCACCGTTTGCTTTCCCCTGGTTTATATTACTTTGTCTTAAAAGGCCAATTCTGTTTGTTTTTTTAAACTTGTGCATTTCAGGAAACAGGAGAATGAGAGTATTCGAGTGACCACTCTTTGTCACAACCCATCTCTCCCTGTGGAAAATGTAATGGTTCCCAAGTATAACACATCACAGTGTGTGATGGTCCGTCAACAGTATGAGCATGTGATATTTTACATCTGCGGCTGCGTCCATGAACAAGAGTGCAATGACAAACTTATATTTGAAAATCATACCAATGGTAAGTCTTCTTCCTAGCTGATGGCGGACTCATGTAAGGCTTAACATTTTCAGACTTGAGTCCCTAAGGTCTGATGCTTCAAGAGGAGGCAAAGAGAAATGGTCCTAGTGTAAACACACACACACACACACACACACACACACACACACACACACACACACACATACACACACAAGCTAAGATGAATATAAAATCTGAATATGTGGTAACAAATTGTTTATTTGCAAAATGTTTATTTGCTTATATTATTCTTGCTAGAATTTATATGTCCATTTGTTCTATAGAAAAATAACATGTACAGATTATTGGAAAAGGAACAATCTCCCTTTTCTCAATGATTTATTCCATGAAGTTTTTCTAGTTCCCATAAACAGTCCCCACGTTACATTCCTGACACTGCCAGTGCAAAAGATACCAAGCCATGCAACTTCCCATCTGTCTATGACCTTGGCAAGAGCTGGCAGAGCAGATCATGTGGCAGAGTCAGACGCATCCCAATCTCTGAGGGATTTGCAGGAGTTTTGCTAAGGAGTTCTGACTCCCTGTTGTTGCTGACCCCTCCACATCAGATGATACCAGTCGCACCAAGAAGCCTGCAAGGCCTGTGTGTATGATCAGGAGGGAACGTTTGCATTCTGTGTACATTTCATTTCTAATACTGGACTTTAGTTCCTTTCTGTAATTCTAAGCACTTTTCTCTGGCTTGTGGATCTTGGGTTTCTAGAAAAAATAAAATAGCTCCCACAAGCCTCTACCAGAGTATTGGCCTAGCCCTAGATGGACAGAATATATATATCTACGTTAAAGAAAACATGGCTTTTATTCACCCTTTTAGACTTACCACAGCTTTCTAGGTTGAGCTTATCAGATGTTAGTTTTGCAAGGAATGGGATCTGTTTCCTGTTATAGTTTCAAAACAGAGATGGCACAACCCCCAGCTCCCAAAACATTCCACTTAAAGTTTGCCTATCAGGCAAATATAGAAAAACAATAAAAGACCAGGCTCCGTCATGTGTGGGAAGAAACAAAACACAGGCATGACATGTCTCTCCCTAGTTCTACTGGCCTAATTGAGGGCCTGCGCAATTTAAACCAAAACATTATGAAGTTTCAAGCAGATTGTGTGCTTCAAGGATGAAATTAACCTTTTAAATAATTGAGGGAGGACCCACAAGGGCATATACGGCATCCCAGCTTGAAAACATGTTGCCCCCTTTTTTTTTTTAATATTTTAAAGTATGTTATCACTCTCCTCAGCCAATATAGAGTCCCAGCAGCTTATACATGAGTGGAAAGCAAGATAGTTACCAACTTGTGCTGGTAATTGCAGAGGAAGACGTTTGGATCATCATCATCATCAAAAGAGGCAAAGAATAAGCCCTTTACTCCATCCTCTTTTTCAGCCTAAGGGACTGACTCTACCCTTTACCATGGTATGGATTAAAAGATACAACTGAAGCAGCAAGCTGATCCAATGCAACAGTGTCTGCTTTGAAAATAAACACACCATCAAACACCAACATTCACCTTTACTGAAAGCAAAGGTTTTAAACTCAATTTACCTGGGGGCCACTAGAGGCCGAGTCTGGGTGAGGCTGGGCCGCAGGCAAGGCTTTTTTTTAAACTCTTGACAGCAGAGGATGTGAGGGTGCTTTGGGGGGACAGGCAAGGCGAGGGCCACAAGCTATCATCTGGGGGGCCGCAAATGGCCCCCGGGCCGCATGTTTGAGACCCCTG